TAATTATACATATACATTTCTTTAATTTTTAAACATTTCATTTATATATTAATTTATATAATTTTTTTACTTAAAATATATTAATAAATATCTGCAGATAACAATGTGAAACTTATTATAAAGTGCTACAGCTTTTCATGGAGCTCCATGGTTTAGGAGTCTGAATAGTGGGTCCCTTGGTCTAAAAAAGGTTAACAGCCTCTGCTCTGAAGAATTTGAATATGATAAATGTGATAATATCAATGTAATTATCATTATGTGATCATTACGCTTGCTGCGATAGTCGGTGTTGCCAGTGTTAAGCTGCAACACCGGTTACATCACTGCACACCGCGGCACCGCCCACCCCTGTCTTTCTGATTTTTTTATAGTAATAAAAATCATTTAGTTCAGTTAGAAAACAGACACCACAATTAAAAACTGAACGTGGCTGCTCAGTGCAGAGTGCCGAACGACAGTCGCATCACAGATCAGCAGTCCGATTTCATTAATCACGTCAGGAGAGTGAGTCGAGCTGACCGACGAGGAGAGTGAGGTGAGACAGACAAGATGATGGCGGAAGATTTAGTTTTGAAACAAAATGCAAAAGCGCCTAGCTGTCTGACAATATTTTACTTTAATTAAACGTTGTGTAATTTAACAAAAGTTCTATGTTTATATAAGTGAATTTGTCATTGTACCGTTTTGTCGTTGTACATTCAAGCAATTGAGACTAATTCGAAAGTGAAAGTAAAATGTTCACGGCTATTTACAAGCTATTTAAAAGCGAAGGGAAACGAGGGAAAACCGCGACGAAACCCCACCCCCCGGTGTTGTCACACGTGGATTAACCGGTGGTAAAATTTCCTCAGCATCACAACCCCAATGTAAATGAATGTAAATATAAATGTGAATGCGCAACTGACTGATTTTGACTGTATCTCAGGTCTTGCAGAACATGGTGCACTGTGCAGACCTCAGTAACCCCACCAAGCCGCTGCAGTTGTACAGGCAGTGGACAGACCGCATCATGGAGGAGTTCTTCAGCCAGGGGGACAGAGAGCGGGAGCGCGGCATGGAGATCAGCCCCATGTGCGACAAGCACAACGCTTCAGTCGAGAAGTCCCAGGTAAGCCAGCTCAGGGTAGATAAAGATAAATGAAATAATGAAACATAAAATAATCAAGCTTATATAGGTCTATATTATGTTTCTAATATATTTTTATTTATATTTAACTCATTATTTATTTTTATTTTCTCTAAATATGTTCTCTATCATGTGATGACCTTTTAGCCTTACCTATAATTCTGCATGGCTGTCCTCTTTGTACTTGTTACTTTTATTTATTATAATTTATCTATGACAGCATAAATCCCATGGCTCACAATATTATTATATAAAATATATTGTTGAAAAAAACAACAACTAATTATTAATGATTAATAATAATATACAGAATAAAAAATAAACAGATTATATTTTTTCTATTCAAACGTTTAGGATTTTTTTTTCATGTTTTTTAAGGAAGTCTCTTATTCTCACCAAGGCTGCATTTATTAGATATTCATATTTTAATAGATAGAATATTTTGAAATATTACAATTTAAAAAATAACTGTTTTCTATTGTAATGTATTTTAAAATGTAATTTATTCCTGTGATGGCAAAGCTGAATTTTCAGCAGGTATTACTCCAGTCTTCAGCGTCACATGATCCACATGAAATCATTCTAATATGCTGATTTGGTGCTCAAGAAACATTTCTTGTTATCATTGTTGAAAACAGTTGTGCTGCTTATATGTCAGTGGAACTCAATATATTGTGTATTCTGCTAAATATTTCCAGGAAATTTACCGATACATATGTCCAGCACTGTATACAAACCTTCTTTCAAAAACATTTGAAAATATTTTTTTCCTCTTTCTCTTTTTTTTCCAAGGTGGGCTTCATCGATTACATTGTTCACCCTCTGTGGGAGACGTGGGCAGACCTGGTGCACCCAGACGCGCAGGACATCTTGGACACACTGGAGGACAACCGGGAGTGGTACCAGAGCACCATCCCCCAGAGTCCCTCTCCAGTGCTGGACACCAGCAGCGAGGGCCGACGCACCGCCGGCCAGGAGAAGTTCCAGTTTGAACTGACTCTGGAGGAGGACGGAGAATCGGACACAGAGAAGGACAGCGGTAGCCCTCCTGATGAAGAAGAGGAGGAAGAGGAGGAAAACAGCTGCAGTGACTCTAAAACCCTTTGCACACAGGACTCCGAATGTACAGAGATCCCCCTGGACGAGCAGGTGGGGGACACACAGGATGAGGAGGAGGAAGAGGACGAACAGGAGGAGGAAAGGGAAATATCAGAACCCTGTGTTTTAGAGGAGGAGGAGGAGGAGGAGGAGGAAGAGGACACTGCCAACACATAACACAGTATGACACAGCACCTGAACTTTTTTATATTAGAGATGAGAAACACTTATTTATGGTTAAGATACTAGTTTTTTTCATTGTCTATTTTACATATGTCGTTCAAAAGTGCTTTTTTAAATGTCCGCCTTTAACCTGATTTTATTTTTAGTCCTCACTCTTTTTTTGAGTTACAACCATTTTTACACTCAGGAATATCTTTTCCACTCAAACCTGTCATTCATACAAACAAACGTAACAAATGAAAGGTTAAAAAGCTTGACTTTTATTCCTGATTGTAAGGTACTTTTATTTATTTTTTTTTCACTGAAACAGTATTTCAGAAACATTGAACTTAGAAAGCAGCTGTCTTTTCACCACAGAGACACTATTTTTTCCTGTTCATCTGAAGAAAAATGGCAATTCGAAGCATTTTTGCAGACAAACACTAGGAGTGAATACTTCATGCTTTGAACTTCATGTCTTCCTGATTCCTTGAATGTGTTATTAATCTGGATTTAGCTCTCTGTTGTGTTTGTGTAGCATTATTTGAAGCGTATGGACTTGGTACCAAAGTGAAAAGAACTCGCGAGACACCATTTTCACAGACAATACACATTTTCATTTAAATTACCATATTTGGGGTAAATATGGTAGTTTGCACATCTTTTTATTATTTTGTTTTTACCCTTATTTGTTGCATCCAATCCAGATCTGAAAATGGTTCATTTTAAAAAATATTCTTATTTTGTTTTAAACAATAAGTTTCTCAGCTTATTAATAATACCTAATTATGGCCATGTTTCAATGTTTTAAAACTTTATTCCCCCAAGAACAAGAACTCATAATTCTGTTATAAAATAATAGCTTGAATAAGCCTTAAATGTTTTGTTGCCTACCAAAAATGTACAAAAACATACAAGCAATGGAGTAAAATGAATCCTGGTCATCACTTCATAAATAACAATATGAATTATTATTGTAATTAAGTAATAATAATGCTATTAATAATAATTATTATTATTATCATGTTAATGATGAATCCTGGGTATCCCTTCATACATAATAATAATTATTGTAATTATTATTCATCATTATAATTATTATTATTATTATGGCCCTCCTCATTTGTTTCTCAGAAATGTTTGATAGCTGTTTGGTGCCATATGTCCCTGGCCAGTTAAACAGAAAACAACTGACATAAATGAAGAAGCTCGATTTACCGGTTTGTGTTTTCACATGATCACGGGACAATCAGCCTCAATGCAAAGCCTTATTGTAAGTGTGAATCTAGTTGCACTATAATTTTTTTATTGTATTTGTGTTGTTGTTAATTGTATTTATTTTGGACATTTTCGCCAAACGTTACCAGTCGCAATGATTTTAATTGCTGCTTTACTCATCTCTGTCAAGTGTCGTACTGTACAAACATCCTCTTCATTTTATGTTCATGCTAGCATTATTTATTAATGCTCTTTGATGTGCTTGTAGCATATTAAAGTGTTTTAATCAACTTGTAGCATCAGCAATTCAGGCTTACGAGTCAGTTTTCCTTAATATAGTTTAATTATACATATGCAGTAGATATACTTAATCAAATGTACAAAATTATATATAATATTGAAGCCTTTTGAAAAGACCCCTTTTTCATTGCTTTCTTTATTCTATGTAAAACTCGTTCTGTTGCCAAGTTTGCTTTTTTATTAGTAGGTTTTTTTATTGTCTCCATTCTCTACATTGTTTCTCATTTCTCTCTGTTTACATACATGTATTTATTGTTCTGTATAGTACATATTGTTGATCTTATCATGTCGTTGTAAATGATTATATCATCCCTTTTGGTGATGGTGTTGTATTATGGAACTCTTACTGAGAGAATGTTTGTTATTCTTAGTATGTAATGATCCCATTGATATGTGTCTCTAGAGAGACTGCGTAGAGAAAGGGAAAGCCAAATTATAGTCATTACTGTGTTTACTTTCATTCTTTCTTTCTTTTTAAAAGAAAGTGGTTCCGTGGCCTGAGGGTTGTGCCTTACAGATAGCTCTTTAGATTTTATCCTCTTGCTGCACTAAAGAAACTACTGGCTGGAAATTGACCTAGATGTGTTTGTCGTGTTCCTCCTGTTTATGTGGCATAAATGCTCCCAGCATTAAAAAAATAAATAAATAGACAAAAGTTGTCAGACCACATTGGACAGCGTAAAAGCGGGCCAGTGTGATGGGTTTGGGTTTGCAACCAGCTGTAAGAACCTCCATCATATTTCCGTCTATGCTGTGTTCATTTGAGACATTCAAAGACATTTACGTTTCATGCAATATGAGAGAAAACATCTTTCTGTTTGGGGATAACAGGGCATTTTGATTTCCAGATCCTTCACAAAAAGCCCAAACGCTCAATTTGGGACTCATTTTGACACATATACTGTAGATTCTTATTGACCCTAAATGGATGAAATCAGTGCGTCCTTCTCGTCTCTTTTTAAATCATGAGAGAAATACACAGAAGTTGACAAATGATATTTAGGGATAACTATTTTTTTGTTATGTGACTTGAATGACAAAACTTGTCTGGAGGTTTCACAAGACCGTGTAGTTGTTTATTGGACTGCTTGTTTATCGCAGTCTATTGGATAGAACTGTAGAAATAAAAATTTACGTACGAAAACTGGTAAAATCCAATAAAAATGTTTTTTATATGCACCAAAATAAAAGCATGGGTTGACTCTATGATGTTGTCTTTTGTTTCCTACCTGCAGTCTCTCTATTAACAAATCTATGATTTGTTTAGCTTTATTTTATTCATAAATGTAATTTTTTGAGATGGACTGTTCAAGTTATATTTGGCCTGATCTGATTGTGTGTGTGTGTGTGTGTGTACCTGGTATTTATCACGTTATGGGGACCAAATGTCCCCAATGTCCCCATAATACTAGTCAATTTTGACCTTGTGGGGACATTTTTGAGGTCCCCATGAGGAAACAAGCTTATAAATCATACATAATGAGTTTTTTTGAGAAAGTAAAAATGCACAAAGTTTCCTGTAAGGGGTAGGTTTAGGGGTAGGGTTGGTGTAGGGCAATAGCACATACAGTTTGTACAGTATAAAAACCATTACGCCTATGGAATGTCCCCATAAAACATGGAAACACAACATGTTGGAAAACACTGTGTGTGTGTGTGTGTGTGTGTGTGTG